AAAAGGTTCTTTGTTTCATCAAATGTTATATACTGCGCTTGAAATATGGAAAAAAATTGGTAAAGGAGGAATAGAAAGCGCAAATATTTTAGTAGCCCAAATTAAAAAGTATGACGCATATGAACCTCCATATAATTTTACTTTTATGGAAGAAATTGAATCACCACAAACCTGGTGGAATGGCTGTAAACTAGAAAATCATAATTTACAAAAACTTGCTCTGCATTTATTAGCAATTACACCCCATAGTGCAAGTTGCGAACGTATATTTTCAGTATTAAGTTGGATTACTCAAAAACGAAGAAGCAGGTAAATAAATTAGTTTAATTTATATAATTTTAGCTTCGCTTTATGGATAATGACTTTATAGATATTTATTTTATAGACAATTTATTTACCAAGCATATTTATTTTACAGAAAATTAATTTAAAAACAATTTCAATTTATTTCGATATTAGCTTATTTCATAGATACTTTATTTTATTTCATCGACTAAGCATAGTTATTCATATTAAAATTAGATTTAAAATTATACTTGCTTTTAGTGCAAGTTATAAAAAAACTTGCATCTATAATAAGCTGTTAGTGAGATAAACTGTCTATGAAATAAGCAATCAGGAACTAACTCAAAATATGCTTATCTGTGAATTGATAGTCTAAGTACGGGAAAGTAAAAACCTGAAAATACATTTAATGACTTATTATGGTAAGTTATAGGTTTTTGCTCTCCTGTACTTATTTGTAAAATAAATTGTTAGTAGATTGCTTGTTTGTGAAATGAGATATCTATAAAGTGATTATAGGTAAAGTAATACAAATTCTATAATTAAATTTATATTCTTATAGATTAACTGTAGAAAAGGTTTCCAATATCGCGAAATTACATACATATTATCTAACTAATGCTCAAAACGAGCTAAATTATGTTGCTAATAATCTTTCAGAATTAGAGTTTGAGCAAATAATGGAAAATTATTCGAATTTAGTTGAATATGATGATGATATGTTTACCAGTGAAGAATTCGATGAAGATTATATTTCTGATGAAGATAATTTGGATGAAATTAGACAATTTGATTGTGAAAATTTGGAGATTGGTGAGATAATTGATTTTAATACCTTTTCAGAAGAAAAAGTGAATGAAGTGAATGTTAATAGTAGCATCGAAACTGAGGAAGAAGCGGATTATGATATCAATGAAGTTATTAACGCAGCTATAAGTAATACA